ATAAATATAATATATACACATAATATGTATATATATGCGCAGATTCCCAGCCACAAATAGACAAAAGCAAGCACGCACTCAGTAGACTTGCTCATTACGTTTATCACATGCATCACCATATCCCGTCCATGAGAATATCAAGAACAAAAAGACCCTTAAAAACTGAGATATTATAGCGCACTCTCTCCACCCTTAACTTTGTTTTGTTTTGCTATCTCAAAAATAAACCCAGTCCACTCGAACTCCCCCCGCCCCTTACTCCTGATTCAAAGCGCAGTGTGTGGTATCCAAATTGTGTAGTATTGTATTAAAATCAGGCACTTGTCAAAATAATGAAATCGAAGATACCGGTATTTTTCGACGCTTGGCAGGCATTTTTTATCGAAAAAATACTGTTTTTTGCCTCTAGACTTTTTATGTCCATTTAAAATACATTTCCGAGTGGATTTACGGAAAAGGCTTGATTAAAGGCACATTAAATGAAAAGTTTCAGTTTCAAAGAACTCTCAATATATGGAAGTGAAGTCACCAAACTTTGATGACTATTTCTCGCTACTTTTACCACTTAAACCAGGCGACTACCCCCCCCCCTCCCCCCGCCCCATATCTTGACTTCTGTTCAAGATGGGTTGGTATTTTTTTCATAGACGATAGACAAATGGACGAACTTTAAAATGATACCCATAACTCCATATGCCCAAAACTTGACGAGCGCCTGATTCTACAGCGTCTTGACTCAAATTCTGTTCCACTGACAGGCAATCCTGTATGGAGGGGGTCGTCCTATAAATGACATACAAAGCATGGCAATGAGGCTAAAACCCTGATATAAGGTAAAACGATTACAACAATAATATTATGTATATTTGACTCTTGACGAGGGGTCAATCCTTTTCTAAACACCCATCCTCAGTAAATTTAATGTAGGACTCTAAACATTGCACAACCTAGACCACTGAACAAAATCCCACAGACACGGCAATACAACGTAAAAATCCCTGCAACAAGAACAACATAAACAATCGAAGGTCACAATCAAATGATTCTATTTCACAAAATATCACAGCTCTGCCAGATTTACAGCTCTTTAATCCTTTCCACCAGGGTGAAGGTTTAAAATGACAAATGGAGGAGACAAAATGGACCAAGGAAACAACCAAAGGGTTGATACAATGACGCATTTAAACGTTGTAGACAAAATGTAGAATGAACCCACGCATTGCCCACTCACACTACTCTCCAAAAGCTTAGTACTGAAGACTTAAGGTCCAAATTTCTATCAAGAAAAGTCTCACAGTTTCTGATTAATGACTCGTAGTAAATGTTTGCGCCCTAATAGACACAACCTAGTGATCTAGTGGAACAGCAGAATCGACCATGCCTGTCAAAGCCAACAAGTGCTAGGTGGAATACAACATCCAGGCAGGCAGACGCAGATATACCTGATGGGAAAAAAAAAGAAATCGTTCCCTTCTCGGGACTCGAACTTACGTCTTCTGTGTGTGACAGCAAAGAGCGTAACCACTTCACCACAGACGCGGGAGTTCTGTAACTGAGAGTGAAGTTCTTTTCTTGCCAAGCAGCGTGCTCTGTGTTAGAGCCCATATCTGTTTCTGTGACGTCACACTTTCTATTCAGTACGTCCGCAAACAAAGAAATATCAACATATAGATATGGTAATTTGTAATAATATAATAAATACTAAACAAAACTATGGAATGCGGTGCAGGGAAATCGCCATATAGGTGCTTGGCGAGTAGTGTTGTTCTATTCTGTGCTCTGGACTGGGATCAGCGACTTGGAACAAAATGGTGGCTCTAATATTTACAAAATCGTTACAACGTGTATCCAAAGTGTGGTTGGAGTCATATTAATCACGTTATTTAGGAGGTAATACACGACTCATCGGCACACTTTTGGTCGTATAGCAACAACATGGTCATGATCATTGCGTCGTTGAGTGACGCTTTTACGACATATATGTCAAAGTTTGTGCTGCAGCTACACGTAGATGTCATAAAATACATGAGGATAAAGCTTAAAGCCCTGATAAGGTAAAAGGAGAATTATTATGCATGCATGACCCTGAAGAGCGAAACCTTCAGTTTCTGTTTCAAAAGAGTAACATAATACTTTAACATCTTTTGAATTAAAATATTGCCCCCCCCCCCCACTCCTCACTCCCCCATGCACGCACACATACAAACACACACAAACGCACGCACACACACACACACACACACACACACACACACACACACACACACATACACTCATTTTTTAAATTACCCCCTTAATTTCAAGGAGGAAAAAGACTGGCTTTCTGTGTTGATTATGTCACTGTATAGGGCGCTGATACAGCTTCATTTTTAATCAAATAGACCTGTTTTAGAGAATTTGACGTCATATACACAAGAGCTTGACAGCTTTGATTACTCACGAGGACACAGCAGTATAATATGCGTGAGTAAATAGTGACAGTGAGTTCTCACCAACACTGTCCACGACAGGAGTTTGCCTCGACGAAAACACTGGATTACAATACATGAGGCAGAAATACAGTAGACAATAATATATACTTGATGTTGTCGTCTTTGACAAGAAGAAAGTCGCTGCTCAAGGAGGGGGCGGGGGTATAGAGAATACAAGTCGGGAGGTATCTTTAGTGGAGTGTGGGACATCCATCTCAGCTCATTAAGGTGTACTAATACTCCAAACAGACGCACGTGGCTTCTTTTCTTGCCGATCTGTTAAAATACGAGGTTTTCTATACTTCAAGCTGTTTAGGTGACGAGCCCAAACTTATAAAGATTCTGCTGAATCGCTCTAAACATTGAAACAAGCATAAATGATCGTATGCCTTAATTTATATTTGAGAAGCAAGACGTAAATTATAGGTACATCAACAGTTTATGAAGCCTTTATTTAACTACAGTTACTTACATTGTTTTTTTTTCTGCTCTCGGCAATTAAGTGAGTGTTTTTTAATCAATGTCATTTCTTATCTGCTCTTTGCTCTTTGCAGCAGTTCCTATTTTGCAAGCATATTGAGACTAGATTGCATTACTGGTTACCACCTAGAAAGTGTACGCCAGTCTTATCTCTTCAGCAAAAATACATGTAGTGTGTAAACCATTATGTCGAGCTGGAATTTTTACATTCTTCATTTCTCCGAGTGTAAATGAATGGGGTCTGAAGGGAACTCCAACAACGCTCAGTGATGTTAAAGGATCTCCAATAAAGCTTGAGTTTATTTTTATTCGTACGTGCTTTTGAGTATCATTATCTCATAATAGCTTGTAATGACTTGAAGACACAAACGTATGATGTTCTTCCTCCTGTCCCTGAACATTCTTCCAGAATGTGCATTTCATATTACGAGAGAGAACTAACTTGTTGAACTTTTCCTGTTATACTAGCAAAACTCGTGAAGTTTCGCTGGAGTTCGAACATCCAAGAGTTGAAAATGTTTCATTCTGTAAGATTCAAAATAGAAACACAGATGGGTTTATCAGACCACTCTTAATGTAATATGCGCATGCGTTATAAATTATAATCATGACTTTTCCAGCATTTTGTCAGAATTGTCAACCACTTCTCTCTCTCTCTCTCTCTCTCTCTCTCTCTCTCTCTCTGTCTCTATCTATCTCTCTCTCTCTGTTATACTTTCTTTCGTCGTGTCTTTCAAGAACAAAGCCACCACAAAAATATCTCACACCGAACGCTGTCGTTCAAAGTCACAGATGTGCGGTACTGCCAGATGTGGAATATTGCTCAAAATCAGGAAGTCTGCGAGTGCGCATGTTTCTTCAAGACACCAGTTGTTTGTTTTTCCGGCTCATGGTACAGGTGTTGTGTCTGACAGGAAATTTGGCCGTTCCTCACTTCGAAAAGGGGAGAAAAACTTCATCTTTGTGTTCAGAATTCCCGACTCGATAAGAGAGGTATCACACACACTCAAGACTCTTCACTGGAATGGAGAAATTTCGGGCGAGTTTTACCCGGTTGAAAAATGTTTGGTTCTGATTGGTAGGCGAGTGATTCAGACTTCTTCCTCTCTAGACTCTCCTGTGACTCCTTTAGACTTAAGCATCGAGTTGAGAAGGAAGATCACGTGGTCCATTTTCTTGTCCAAATGGCTTACCTGAAAGGTAAAAAAAAACCCGTAACCCTTCCACCATTGGCGTCTAGCAATAATATTACATGTGCCTTTATTTGTAACGAAAGTGTCTGTGCTGGAAAGTATATGTGTAAAACAAAAAAGGGGAAAAGATAAATACAACGGCATATTACAGGGAAGTCAGACAGACAGACAGACAGACAGACAGACAGACAGACAGACAGACAGACAGACAGACAGACATACAGACAGACTGACAGACTGACAGACAGGCAGACAGACAGACAGACAGATAGAAAGATAGATAGATAGATAGATAGATAGATAGATAGATAGATAGATAGATAGATAGATAGGTAGATAGATAGATAGATAGATAGATAGATAGATAGATAGATAGATAGATAGATAGATAGATAGATAGGTAGGTAGGTGACGTCAGAGTTTGGGAGCAATGCCCTCATCTGCCAATGCATGATAAGAAAGAAGGAACTAATTGGGTCTAGGGACACTGAACTCCTCATTACTCCTGTCTAGACAAATCATAAGGTCATCCCATTTAAACATCTGTCACTTACACGGAGCGTGTGGCGTGTGTGTCATTAACCCAAGATCCCTCACCCCTGACTCAGTTCAGCTGTCCACCCAGAGGTCACTGACCTGTGTTTCCACTCGTACCATCCGGGCACCGATGGTCATCTTCTCGCGGTCACGGGCGGAGCTGGCGTAAAGATTCCCTGGTTTACCCAGGGTCTGGTCAAGTCTGGTTGGGGGGGGGGGGTAAAAGAGGTACGAGGGGTAGAAACAACAAAAAACGTCATAAAAAATGAAGGGTTCATGAGGTGAAAAGGAGGGGTAGTGGGAATAGTTTATTTTTGTTCGCGTTTCTCTTCTTTAAAAAAAACCTGATCTCCACTGCTGTGTAGACGTATGCACTCGGTAGCGTTCTCTAAATCTGGTTCCTGTTTTTGTTTTTTTCCTGTGATTTATATGGGTCGTTTTAATGGATATAGTTTCGGAGAGTACCATTGCTTGTTCATAAATGACCAAAAAAAAGTTATCATGACTTTCCATAAATCTCTATTGAAAGGAGAGTTCATCTCGTCTGGACAAAGGTAGGTGGGAACGTCTCAGTAATGAAAGGATTAATGTAGATGTTTTTACGCCCCTGTTGTCAAAATTTGGATCATTTAGATGGCAGACTTTAACCCTGTCTGTCAGTGCCTAACCCGACTAAGAGGGATACAATATCTTAGAAAAACGACAGAGATACTTGATAAAAATTACTCCACATGTGAGAGTCGAACTTGGGTCTCCTGCACGCAACAGTGAATGGGCAAACCCCTACACAACAGACACTGGTGGGTGAAAAGGAAGAAATATGGGGAGGCTGTGGGGGGGGGGGGATCGAAGACATTGTCTGGATGTAGTAGAAATGAGTATGATGGGTAGATTTGTTATAATGTTACTCGTTTCTTATTTGTACATGTAATTCATTTGCTGGCACTAACTATATATTTTACTTAGTTGTCATTTTCACTGAGCAGTACCAAATATTCGTTGAAATCAAACCAAGAATAATTAATATCTTAAAAATTGATCACCTCATAGCAAACTCATCAAGCGGTTGTTGCTTTTTCCTTTGAGGCCATATCTCATGTGATGTTAACTATTTTTTAAATGAGAATGTTAGTGATTAAATTTCTTGAGAGGCTGTTTCAAAAACAACAAAAGAATTTTGCATTTTTGTTTGTAATACAGATATGGAATTCTTTATGATAGTTCGTGCGATAAATGTAATTGAACATGAGATTAGAGTCGCTTAGATATATACGTTTTCTTATATTATGATTTAAGAAATATTAAGTAGAAAAACAGCTCAAGACCACTTGGCCATTGTGCATAGTAACAATAATAATATCCTACTTGAAACTTTTACCAAACACTTAAACGGAAAATCCACGGTAATATTTATCCAACCAATATTTATAGCATAAAATGCTATTATGAATTCTCAACGTTGCTTTTTATAGTAATATTATGGAATTATCGACTTATTTGAAAACATTTCTTTCATACAAGACTGGCACTAAGGTGTTAAAAGACAGTCTCGGTGTCATGAAAATTCTTCAAACAACATGTTTTTGTAAATGCTGCACAAGATTCTACTCTTGGTGGTTGCGTCGTGCCTGATTAATGTTAATCGTTTCATTATGATACATTTAATACTCGTCTTTAGTTCAGTTTTAGTCAGCTTTACACCACTTTCTACACCAATAGGTCATAATGCTGTAAAATAAATGCTGAAGAGTCGAGGTGTTACTATAGATAGTAACATACAAATAAAAGAATGTGGAGAGGTAAGGAAGATTTCTATTTGATCGAAAGAAGGAGCAAACCACACAAGACCACCTGCCCGCTTTCCACTATATTGAACTAAAAGTCAGTTAAAATATTAATCAGGACTATTGTTTCAATATAGTGAAGGAATTCAAGGATGGAAATACTCATCTTAATGTGAATAGTTAAAAACCAAATGTGTTTTAAATTATTTTGAAATATTACCGCTACAACCAAACCAACAGAGCAGAGCGGTGTTTTTAAGCAGAGTGGTTATTTCAGGTGTGAAAACCTGGCATAGATGAGCTTGAGGCGGGAGAGGGTGGGAACTGGAAGCCAACCTCACAGACTGGAACAATTCTCATGTCTTTTTCCTTCTCCTGTTTCACTTTTTTTTATCTGCAGGTTTTTTTCCCCGGTCTGCTGATAAAGGAGAGAAAACGATGCTTCTCGTTTTCTTTTCGGTTTGTTTTGTTTCGTTTGATTTTTTTCTTTCTTTTATTTGGTGCGGGGACAACTCGGCGCACGGCTCCAAACTACCACCATTGCTAGTTGTGGAAAGTGATAATTAAAAAGAATTTCCTAATCCTGCCAAGTGGCGCGTTCAGTTGCTGCGTTACGTTAAGAGAGAGGGAGAGATAGATAGAGTGTGTGTGTGAGAGAGAGAGAGAGAGAGAGAGAGAGAGAGAGAGAGAGAGAGAGAGAGAGAGAGAGAGAAGAGAGAGAGAGGAAGAAGAAGAAGAAGAAGAAGAAGAAGAAGAAGAAGAAGAAGAAGAAGAAGAAGGAAAAAATAAACAAAGAGAGGGGTTGCATCACCGCATGGGTGTGTGTGTGTGTGTGTGTGTGTGTGTGTGTGTGTGTGTGTGTGTGTGTGTGTGTGTGTGTGTGCGTGCGTGCGTGTGGGGGGGGGCAGTTGATGGGTACTCTTGTGCAGTCTTTATGTTTTATTCCTTTACGTAGTTGCTATTTTTTTCTTGGCATACGTGACCGTTATATTATGGAAATTTCGACTAACACGACAACTAAATAATAATAATAATAATAATAATAATAATGATAATTGTAATAATAATAATAATAATAATAATAATGATAAAAATAAAAATAGTAATAATAATAATAATAATAATAATAATAATAATAATCTAATATTATTATTATTATTATTATTATTATTATTATTATTATTATTATTATTTTTATTATTATTACTTTTTTTGCGATGTGCTGTAAGGGTTGAGGGTGAAACCCCAGACGCTCTCTGGCAAGCCAGCCTTAACTAAGTCAACTGCCCGTCCTCGTCGAGCAGCCTGGGGACCCCTGCTCCGTGGAAAGGTGGAAAGGCATAGGAACAGGGGTTGCAGGCGGAGCTCTAGCCAGGAGGTACCATAGCCCTGTGAGGTGCAATGTGAGCAACGACCCTTCGGCTCGTAGAAGGGCCCGTACACATCCACCATTATGGTAGGTCTGGCGTCACAGTAGGCCGACCTGGTCATCCAGAAACTCACTGTCGACATCTTCTTCCCTCCCTCTCGTAGGAGCTCTACGGACGGGGCATGGTACCCACAGACTGCCAGCTGACTCATGGTAAGATGTCTCCGCAGACCAAGAAGGCATTGAAGCAGTAAGGAATAGGCTACCTGGGAACAGATGAGTCTCTACAGATATCCTTGTAAATGATCACTGATCCATCACGTGACGCTCCTCTGTATGAGTAGATTTGGCCATATCCTTGGATTATTTTGTTTCATGAACGGAAATGTTAACAGCAGATAGCCAGCAGATAGCAGGTGGCGGGGATTGGGCAAACACATGCTACGCTTGGAGATGTAGACGACTCGCTGTGGAAGGAACGCGTTACCCCTTGTTCAATGGGACCCCTTACTGGACTGTTCAGACAATCACTGGTCATTGCTTGCACTTTGGGGCTGCCACCTCTCAGAACTAGAGTATGCCTACACCCCCTCTAATTGTCTACTATCGAAAAAATCCCCTGAAGGTTGATGGAAAACAGGACAGTGAACATTGCACCTTTGTTCTCTTGTGGCAATATGTTCGGGCACAACCCAGAGTCAGGATAAGACTACCACCTACCTGAGATCCTACAGGGATGCACACAAGCCTTTACAACCCCCAAACCAATGAAATTCCCGTACGACAAGTGGTTTGTTGAGGGAGGCATTGCGCTAACAAGAGCGAAAGAATGCTCGTAGCAAAAGGGATTTGAAAACTACAACAACAAAAATATTATTATTCCGATAGTCAACTTCTAAAAATCAGTGTCTTTGTAGGAAGTTTCTTTGGGCTTCTGCGAGACGCAAACAGAACTTGAAAAGATCGTAATCATCTCTGGTCAGGTTTGCTTTTCCTGTTTTGTGAGGCAAACAATTATAGTCGTAATTAACGTCTTTGTTCTGACTTCTTTCTTCACCAGTGCGTACATGTGTGTGTGTGTGTGTGTGTGTGTGTGTGTGTGTGTGTGTGTGTGTGTGT